CCCCCCCCCCTTATTTCGGTACAGTAATAACATTGCGTACTGCAAAGAGAAGACACCGTGTGTGCAGTGTATCTGCTGCCTTGTATGCGCCTGGTTCTGTGGGATTGTGCTTCTTCAACAAAAAAAAAGTTAAAAATGAAATTGTAACTTCTGATAGATGCGTTTGAATACTGAGTCCTCTGTACGAAAAACAGCAGAATGCTTCTCTCCAGATTGTATTGTTTTAAACTTTTTTTATATTACAAATGCCTGTATTTAGGTTCATAAACATTATCTATGGCTACCATACCCTGAAATGCAAAATTATTTGAATTTGGTATGCATTTATTTCTGTTCATTATCACAAGATCATCTATATTTATAGAGGAATAGAAATTTATATATATTAAATACCATATTTTTAATTTCTCTGAAATAAATTGAGGTTTTGTACAAAACTATCTTGTCCCTTTACGTATTCCTCTGACTAACTCAAATACTGTGTGAAAGCAGTGTGTCTACTACAAGATGTGTGGGATTCCTTTTTTCTTTTCTTACGTTGAGTTCACAGTAACAAGCTGGAATTCAGTGTAGGAATTCATTGTGCATTTTGGTTTTTATCTCTGGGCCGGTCTAGATTAATCCTTCAAAAGAAGCAATGTAAACTGTTCAAGATCTCTGACAGGGTCTGGCCGGTGGTGTGAAATCCAAGAAGAGATCTGCTATATGGCAGGAGAAGAAAGAAGCTCACTAGTTGGTTTTTTTTTTTTTTGTTAAAGAAAAGGGTTCTCTCAACCTAGCCTTTCTTCTTCTTTTCCTATTAAAATAAAAAAAACAGATTTTCTCACTGCTCTAAATGACACACAGACTGTGTTGCAATATTGTCAGAATATTTTAATAAGTAAAATAGTTTTTTTTCCTGGATTTGGAATGTTTGGTTAATCCAGAGGTAAACGGTATGTTCAGGGAAGCATTTCAGCTCTGTGGAAAGTACACGCATTCTTAAACCTTTCAACACAACACATCCTTTATTTGCGTAATGTGTCTTTCTGTAAGCAAGGGTTTGTTAGGAAAGACAGGCTCATTACAAAACTTGATTTCTGATTTCCAGTGTTACAAGCTAGTACAGCATTTCATTCTGTACATCTGGAGGAAGATGTACATGATTTTTGGCCCGTTTACTTTTTTCAAATTGCGATGCTTAAAGAGCCAGAGGAAAGTAGGGGAAACTTAAAAAAATGGCTCTAATTAGGTGAGAGAAGAGGACAGATTTTTTTTCGTTATTTTTTAATTTGTTTTACACAAACGTAGTTCCTGCTTTCTCAGATATTTTGCACATTTTTCTCAAGTCTTTTGTTTTTGTTTTGATATTTTAGCATTTAAAATTGTACTGGTCAGCACTCAGCTAATGACCTGAAGTACAAGCCATTCAATTTCAGTTGCAGTGGAATTCTTTTTGGTCAGGGTACAATTACATTTGAGCCATTTTGACTGATCTATTTTCTTGCAGCTGAATGTATGTGATTTATTTATGCATGGCAGAACACATTTATTTGTGACAGAGACTTTGTATTTATGGTAGGAACGGGAGGACCAAATTTTAAAAAATGCTTTTCAGAGATGAGTAATGGAGTTGTCATTTCTACATGAAGTAAAATGTTAGCATTTGCGGTTCGTGATTTGCGGCTCATGGTCTGCAGCAGATACGGATCCCCTTCAGTTCTTTAGGATTTTTTCATAGATTGCAGAGCTGAAGCTCCATGCTCAGTCTTGGTTATTTTAATGAATATACTAGAGAACACAATATGTTTGTTTAAACATCATTTAAAAGCGCAAAGCCCTGTTTTTTTGTTTGCTAATTTTTATGAACTTTAACAGAGCAGTGATTTGCAAAGGTCGCAGTCCTTGCTGAGCGCTGTGGTGCTGTCTGAATGATGTACCTACTTTTTCGTACTTTTGTTTCTCAACACATAATGGTATTTGAGGCTTTTTATTAATATGATACAAAGGTGTCTTTTGCATGAGTGTGTTGCAGTCATCACTAATGTTTTACCTCAGTGTTAAAACCAAATCTATCCATTGCTCCAAGGAATTTAGACAGGATTTTTTACAAGACGGTCTGTCCAATTGATGTGCCATGTTTACCAGAGAGAATCACTGTATACAAAGAAGCAGTGCTGCACAGTTCTCCTGTCCCCGACAAGAAGGAGAATACAAGAACAAGACTGTGGTGTAGGAAAGTTTTTTGGGCTGAAGGTATTTGTTAAGGCATTCCTTAGTCAACAGCTTTGCTTTCCCTCATGGGATGTATTTATGGCCTGAAATGAAGGGGCACTCCGGATCACCATTCCCCTGAAGAGGGCTGTGGCCTGGAGAGCTGGGGCTGCTGAGTTACCGTTCATCCTTCAGCAACAGTAATGCCCTTTAATGTAGTGGCAAATTTGTGGTATTGGAATGAAATTATGTGCTGTTTCCATAACAAATCCTATTGGGAAGGGGAAGGATTTCTGGTTTGTTCGTATAGTAACGCCCCGAATTTATATGCATACGCTTTTAGAAGTGTTGGGTTTTTTTAGTAGAGTGGTGAGGCTGCGATCTAGTGGGCCTGGATCTGGCCCTGTGGATGATGCCCACCCTTCGGCTGCCATCTCAGTGCTTGTTGCTTGGCACGAGTACAATTACAGGTGGTGCTGGGGATTCCCTTCATTTAAATGGACAGTGTTTGCATTTTTTACATTATTCAAAGGGATGATAATTAGGCATGAGAAGAGACTGCTCCTCTGACCAGTATTTTTCAAAATGGGCTATGGGCTAGTACCTCGTCAGCCGTTTGCCACTCCCAGTCACAAGAGACAGCTTCCAGACCAACATGGTGATCCTTTCGAAAAGGTGAGCACCCTGCCGCTGACCAGAGAAAGCGATTGTGGGTTTGGTGGGAAGCGCGTAGCTTAAAACCATGGAGGGTAGCCTAGCTTCAGCTAGCGAAACTCATGACAGCTGAAGAGCTGGTAAGTAGGAGGGTAAATATTTGCCTGTAGAAATAAGGAAACGGAGGCAAGGCTCTATTTTCATCTCGAATTGACCCTCTAGTGCTTAAACACTGGTACTGCGTTGTATTTGATGTTTCCAATGACAGCACTACAAGACTGTGGCAATACCCTGCACAATCAGTTCTGAGTGTCAGCCCCCCACTTTTTCGTTCTGTTGGGTTTGTATTTGTTGTTGAACCTGGAGCACCATTCCTCTGCATGTAATGCAAGTTCAGAGTGAATGCATCGTATGGATTCCAAATTCAAATGTTGATTTAAAAACGCAAGTCCTTTAGCTGCCTGGTCCCGTTAGAAGTGAGGGTTGCTCTCTGGTCCATAGCTGTAGGGGTTTCTCATATTTGTAAATCTCCTGCTTCTGTTGTTCATCAGTTGAGCTGGAAGGCTTAGGCAATGATTCATACTCATATGGGGAATGGGAACTTTGTTTTTCTTGCCTTGGACTGAACCTCGCGCTGCCTGTGTGTTTACAGCACAGAAGTGTCACCGGAGAAATGCTTTGGTTTGAAGCTCCTGGTCAGTTTTGAAACAGTAGTACTGTAATCTAAAAAATGGGTTAGCGGCTTTAGCAAACAAGGCTCGGTGACTTAAGACTGGGGCTTTGCTTTTCACAGTTTAGTTTTTAGAAGTCTCCAAACACTTCAAGACATGAAATAGCTGCTTTAGGA